GTACCATTTAGGAGTCCGGTCGTTCACGAATCGTTAAGTAGACAAATTTAACGTAATCTTAAGCAGCTGGAATGGACACTCGGCACAGAAGTGAAATACCGATTATTCCCATTAGGCAGATAATCGAGTGCAGAGAAACACGTTCTGGCATTTACTTGGAGAAATAAAAGGCCAACCGGATCGTGATACTCGACACGAAACGAAATTATCGCGCGGACTCTTATAATGCTGCTCCTTGTTCCCCTTGGCTCCCGTTTTTTTTTCCGAATGGCTTTCCAATAATAAAAAAAGCCCAACCTACACACCTTGCACGAACGCCCATTGTCCAAAAGGCAATTTCGAAGTTCGGTCATTGTAGTAATTGCATACGCGAGGAATCCCGCGTGTAATTTAAAGTTCAAAAATAATCTGCGCGCGATTCGCGTCGTTGCGTGGACGCGATTGCACAGGCTGGAGAGGGGGGGGAGAGAGAGAGAGAGAGAGAGAGAGAGAGAGAAAGAAAAAAAAGGAGAAGGAAGAGAAATTATTTCACGGCTACAAAGTTTCCGCAATAATCGCGTTTGAAAATCGCGTTTCGTCCTTTATTCAATTGTCGGAAATGAAAATAATTTCGCCGCAGCAGGAAGACTTGTATTTTGCAGCCCCGTTCCATTCGCTGGAAAATAACATCGATATTGGAATGTATTCTTCGGCCGCGAGGAGGAATTCTGTTCCCGGGGTTAAATTAATTCACGAATTCTTTTTAACGAGGAAGAAAAGTGGTTGGCTGCGAAAACAAGAACAACGACGACAGCGAAGTTATGGCGGTTGCGAAGTTCGCCCCGCTGTAAAGAATAATTGAAGCTGTTAATGAGAGAACGATAAAAATATCATTTCCAAGACGGCGCTATGTTTAAACATCCTCCTCGGCCTAGGCGAATATATCGTTTGTTCTAATTGCGAGCGCGAAAGCCAGAACGAGGAACTGCGAAATGCATGTCAAGAACCGCCGCGAGTGCGATCCGTAAAAAGGCCAGAAAAATGTCGAAAAACGACGAGCTGGCTAGTTTCCCCGAACAACGATGAAAATTTATCGTTCGCGCGAACACCGATTACACGTTACGTTTAACCCTGAATAATTAAACTTACATGAGAGCGATATTAAAATATTAATTATACATGCGTATAGCTTTTCGATTTTATTTATCCTGGTTCTTTGTACTAAAATAACAAAAATACTTTTATCGTTAAGGTATCATTATTTTCGTGTTTTAATTAGCGTCAACGTTGCCGGAAGGTAGTTCGGTTGTCCAGAATTGAAGTCCATAATTTATGACGGCATATTATGAATGTAATCAAACGGAACGAGGTTCGTTGTTTAATTATACAATATTATTTAATGGCTCGGAGAAAAAGTACGGAAAGATGGACACGTATAAATGATGTACAGCGACTCGTATATTAATATTCGGACACCTTTTAAAACGGAATAACTTTTTTCAAAATGGACGAAACGACTTGTATTTTCTTGACATGTTGGTGATACTTGTTTATACTAGGCAATGTTTACAAAGTCATTTTCAAAAATTGCAATTGTTTGGAATGAAAGAAGATATAAGAAATACGCAATTTTTAACTGTTTTATCCGAGCTTATAACGAAAATTTAAACAATGCGTTTTGCAGATCTCTGAAACTCGTAGGCTGAACATTTCATTGAAATCGATTGACGTTGTTATAAGCTACGAACAATTAAAGATCGCGAAAATCGCAGTTTCGACCGATAACCGAAAGAAATCTGCAGATTTCTGTAGTTCGAATGTACGTCGACTGATTTCGATGAAATTTGCAGCTTACATATAAATCGCTGAGATTTACAAAACGTATCGATCAAATTTTCGCTCCAGGTTCGGATAAAAAATGTTAAAAAACGCTAGTTTTTTATTTCTTTATTATTCCAAGCAATGGCAAAATTAACCCTTTGCACTCGAGTGATGACTCTGAGGCACCATTCAAATTTATGATGTCACGTTCTAAAATAATTTTTACATTAGCAAAGTTTAGATTTAAAAAGATTGTTGAGAGCGTAACCGTTGTGTGAGTCGCAAGAGTCAATTTCATATGCATAAAATGCACTTTGTCATATAAAATAAAAGTACTGTAAGTCAGAAAAATTATTTTAGATTTACAGTTAAAATAGCTTCGAGTGCAAAGGGTTAAGAAAGAGATTTTTAGTCATTGCACGGTATACCAGTTGCTATTTAACATTTAAAAACAAAATTCGAGTCGTTTAAGTCCATTTTTGAAAAAGTTATTGCCTCTTGAAAGCTGTTCGAATATCTTTTGCCAGCATGTTCTGTGACCATCGATGACGTTGGACAAATTACTCGTGTCATTTCGATGAATCCTTACGCTGTATTTAACGATCCATTTTATTATCGAATTCTTAAGATTCTTTCACCACGACGCTGCTGACTCCATGTGTTTTCACGTTTTTGCGAGCTCGGCGAGGACTTTTCACTCAGCCCCGAACATTTATTCAGAGAAATAGGGGAAAGTTTGAAATCTGACGAGGATGTCGTAAAATACTCGGCACGTTTCACGGCGGCCACCCCCGCGCAGGGCTCTAACCTAAGATACTATATTTTATGGTATCCCAGAATATTGCGTATAAAGGACCATCGAAAGCCCTTCCGATAAATGCCGGTATTATTATATAAACAGAACTCGCATCTTCCTTCCAACTCGTAAACTTTATCCCGCGGAACATATCATCTAATAAACCATTCGGAAAATATACAACCGTTCACGAATCGATCGGGACTGTTATAGTTTTCTTAAACTCACTCGTAGAACAACGAATCTGTGCTCGTTTTAAATCTTTTAATCTCTACATTCGCAAATTGAAACGTGTCCAAAAATATTTAAAACTTTCTTGTGAGAACTTTTTCATTTTACAGTAAATTCTACCTAATTGATGCAGAAAATCTGTTCCGAGTACAAAGGGTTAATACCTGTGCATTCAAAATAGCACAAACTACAGTAATGTCTCTCTAATTGACGCTCAGATCGTCTACAAAAATGGACAATTTGGGAAGAGGAAATACGATTATTCGAGCCTCGCGGCTCATTTTTATAGTTACCGATTGTCAACAACTATAAAAACGAGTTGCAAGGCTCGAATAATCGAATCTCCTCTTCTCAAATTGTCCATATTTGTACACAATCTGAGCGTCAATTAGGGAGAATTTACTGTATTTCTAGATTTTATAGATTTTATTTTAATTTTATGGATTTGAGGCTTCGCCTTTACAGCAACGACTTTTATTAATTTCACGAGCAAATGGAAAGAACGGTTAATTCGATGTTAAATGAAAAACAACATTATCCAGGGATTTTACAGCATGGATTAATATTCTTTACGCCCACTGCTATGTCGGTCACGCGTGGGTGACTGAATCCTTCATCCATCTTTAAAAGTTCATTTTCGTCAGATCCGTGTAATTCAAACTTTATTAGGAATTGTGGGATCGAAAAAGTTGAATGACGTAATTACCAACTTATATTTAAACTTTTTAATTCCGGTTTTGTAAATTAACAGAATTTTGTGGAATCTTATCGCGTAGTTCAAAGACAAAGCGTTAAAGGTATCGTACTAGATCTATGATCGATAAGAATAGCTATGACCAATCAACGAACCTCTGTTCTCGTATACGAATTTCGTTATAACTAGACTGCGGATTTCTATGCAAAATAAAAACTGTCATAAATTAATTGTAAGAAACGTACTCGGATAAAAACGTCTTTCCTATTGTAATAATTTTAATAAGTTGTATATAAATAAATATATATATATATTATATTATATATATTATATATATATATATATAAATAAATTTATATGTAAACATTATATTACATGTTGTATATAAATATAAATATTCTCAAATTCCCCCAGCGCCTCTCTACAGTTTTATTTCTGATCTCGTAATTTTGGCCAAAAATCCATAAAACTCGCAGTCTAGTTGTAACTTAAAATGAATCTCCTTCGGCCCCGTCGCTTCTTAACGAGTATAATGAAAAGTTTCCGCCAGAATAGCCCCTAAACAAAACGCAGACATTTATTCGCATCAAGCGCAATAAGAAAAGCCGCAACTCATGGGAATTACAGTAAATTCTCTCGAATTGTCCGCCAGCTTGTACACAAAAATGGACAATTTGGGAAGAGGAGATAGAGAAATTGCCAATTTTCGTTTACAAGCTGAGAGACAATCGGAGAGAATTTACTGTACTTGGAATAAAAAAGATGTGAAAAAAACTCTTAAAAAAAATTAAAAAAAAAATGCATTTAACGCTTCTCGGCAACTTGAACGTACGCTGAAAATTTCATCGAAATCGGCGCGATGCTGGAACGATCGTATCTCCCGTTCCCAAATTGTCCATTTTCGTTCTCAAGCTAAAGGACAATTGGGGAAAATTCGTTGCAGCTATCAAATGTACGAAATATCAGATTTCTGAAAAAAAATTTGGCTTCTCCTGTTACAAGAATTGTAGTCAAATCAAAATATGCTCCGTCAGCTCGAACACGCTTTCACAAACGAACGTTCAAAAAATACAACGTCCCATTTATTTCTTCCAAAATTTGAGTTTCTAGATCGCGCGAACGTTGCGTTTAAATTGATCGGAAAACGAACTCGCCCGTTTTTCAGGTGTACGTGCCCATTAGTACAAAGCAATCATTTTCAGTATCCGGCGGTGTGGGTTCGTCGTTAACAAGAATTTATTCGCAGTTCGAACGCGATTCGTTGGCAAATAAACAAAGAATACCGCGGGGAAAGCAATTTCCCCGCTGAAAGACGATGTTACGAATCGATGAAAAAATTGTTTTCCTGCGAGAGAAGGGTCAGTTCGCAGGGGTAACCCGAGCCGGCGCGGCGTTCGCGAGCACATGTAGCTCGGAGCGAGACGAGGGAGCGGGAAGTGGGGGAAGAACGGGGATGAAATAAGAAGCGAAAAGACTCACCCGTGACGCTGAGCAGCGACATGTTCGAAGATGTTCGGGCAAATCGGCTTAGCGTTGAGAGTTTCGCTTAATTGGCCGAGCGGCACTTGACGCGGCGTTCGGATCCGTAGGAAAGTGATGCAGCTATATAACGAGACACGCCGGATCGAAGGAGCACACTCGCGTATTTCGCCGTACAGCCTTTCGTATCGGCCGGCACCGGTGTGTGTTCGACTTTGATTTTTCCTCTTTTCTCGCACTGCGCGCGGCTTGCTCGCACGCGGAAAACGTGCGGCGGCACGCGGATACACGCGTGCGTTCAGACGTGCATATATATATATGTATATACGTATACAGATATATACTCTGTGCCGAGCCGTACGTACGCATATAATACTCGTATAGCATATATATGTATATAGGTATATATCTCTGCATATACCTATATATATTTATATATACGTATATGCGTGTGTGTATACATATAATATATGTAAATATTACAGAGCGAGGAGAGGAAGATAGCAGAAGAGATAGCGGTTAGAGAGACAGATAGCGGAGGGCGGCGGCGGGGGGTGGGGACAGATAAACAGAGATAGAGGAAGATACAATATCGTGTACGTGTGTGTGTGTGCCGCGAATATGGCGCGTCCACACGAATCGAAAATCTCAGGGCTGGAGTTCGAGTTGGAACGGTGTCACGCTTCTCCCGCTCTCGTCTGTCCTCCGTGCCTCCTCCTTCTTCTTCTTCTATCTCGTAATCTTAATAACTTCCGTCGTCCCTCTCTTGTCCGTCTTTCTCCGGGCCGTGTACTTTTAACGTCGTTCACGGCGTGTGTCCTTTTGTCCTTCTTTATTTTCTCGCGACGAGTTTGTCCTCTCCTTCTCCGCGGGCTCGCTCGCTCTCTCCCTCTGTTTCTCCTTTCGGCTTGCTGTCGTCGGCCGGTGCACGCGGGAACAACACGGAACAACGATCGCTCTCCTCCTCTTCGCCGGAACTCGCTCTCGTCCCGTCGGAGGTAGATCGTGCGTGTTCTCCTCGACGGCGACTCTCTGTTCACGCGCCGCGTTTCCTATCGTCGCTGTGTTATTATCACGCGGCCGGCGGCGGATTCGCGCGTGCTCGACACGGAACAGTCAGATCAACCGGCCAGCTACGCACGAACAACAACGGATAACGACGGCAACAACGACGACGACGGCGACGACGGCGACGACGGCGACGACGATTATTCTTGGCCCACAACGACTCTCTAGTATTGTATCACTCGCGCCTCTCTATTACGGACACTGATACTTTTCACGAATGCACAAAGATCACGCGCGTAATTTTTTTTATTCCGTTCCGTGATTCCGCGACACACCGTAAGCCGGTGCGCGCGTGGAAGAGGGGCAGGGATAGAGGGTGGGAGGCTGGGGGCGGCAAAAGAGACAGAGAGACAGAGACTATGTGTGTTTATATGTGTGTGTATGGGAGAGACAGATAAAGAGAGAGAGAGAGAGAGAGAGAGTGAGTGAGAGTGAGTGAGACAGAGAGAGAGAGAGAGAGAAAGAGTATCTCCGGTGAAAGCTCGCCGGCGGTTTGATCAGTGCGCCGATAAACGCGCTATATATCCGTTGTTCACTGGGTTATACACGAGGGGCACCGTTCGAATCGTAACCGTTTACATATGAACGGTAGACCGTCGCGGAATCGCACACCGCGATTATTATCGACTCGGCGTAACAGCGAGGGGCTGTTGGTCACGCGCAAAACCGTGCACCCAGCACGTTCTGCCGGCTAAGGCGGTTACTGTCCACGCTCTCGGGCGCCGCTACCACCACTTCTGTTCCTCTCGCCACGTTCTCCGTTTTCTGTTTCCCGTGTGCCACGTCCTGTTGCTCCTCCGGTTGCTTCGGCTTGGTCAACGACGACGGCGACGACGACGACGACGACGACGACGACGACGGAGATGCTAGCACCGGTGCTGCTGCTAGTAGTGCTGTTGCCGGCGCGGCCGCGGCTCGACGGTCGACGGTTTCCTGCTTGTCGGTCGGTTGCTGCACGATCCCCGCGATTCCTAGCGGCGAATGGTCCTCGTGGTCGTCGGCGAGCGCGAGGCGGTCGGGCTTCGATAGCGAGGCGGCGAACTCGTCACGAGGATAATAGTAACGGTAGTAGTGGTACGGGAACAACAACGGCAGCACCAACGCGACGCAGCTGCTGGTCCTCCTCGGGTCGGTGGCCACGGTGTCGTGGTCGTGGTCGGTGTCGGTGTCGATGTTGTCGTCTACCCGGCCGGAACGAGGCAGCATCGCCGTGGCACCCCGGTGTATCGCTTCTTCGGACCGCTTTTCTGCACCGTAGGTTCGGCCGAGCGCCTCTCGCTTCAGGAGGAGCGCCCACCGTGCCACCTTTCTCGTTATTATCATAGTAGCAGGGGCTGCAGTGCATGCGCCGGTTCGCACGTATCCCGTGCTCGTCAAGGAACCGTACACCAACGACAGCCGCCTCGTCTTCGTCGTCGTCGCGAGCCACGACCGGTTACGGGCATTTCACCGCGATCTCGCGAAACCGGGGGATAGAATCACGCACAACTTCGGGGAACCGTTCAGGATAGCAGGGAGAAAGAGACACAGACAGAGAAAGAGTGTGTATGATAGAGAGAGAGAGAATGAGGGTGAGAGAGAGAGAGAGAGAAACAGAGAAAGAGAGAAAGAGGGATGAACGAGGGACGGCGAGGGTGAGCTAGTGAACGAGCGATCGAGCGAGCGGGCGATAGGTAGATCGGTGGAGGAGCCGAAAAATAAAAGAAACGAGGAAACACGCGACGGACAGTTTTATGCGGCGGGGATCTCGGCTCGCTGGGAATCGGCTTCGAAGCTCTCCGCGAAGAGGACGGGGCGAGCGATGCGAAACGAGAGAGGGTGAGAGAAAGAGAGAAACGGAGGGAAAAGGAGGGAGGAACGGCGCGGGTAGAACGGGGAGACGTGTGTGGGGGAGGCGAGGAACACGCACCACGACAGAAAGAATCAACGGGGATGTATCGTCGCGAACGAAACGATCGAGTTTCACCACTTGTCTACGATGCGCTCCGCCGTGCTCGCACTTGGTACCCCGACGTTCCGTGCACGTTGTTTCCCCCGATGATTTTGTTGATTATACTACGGCATACGAAAGGACGAGACTCCGCACCGTGGCCGCGGACGTGTGCGGTGCTCCGGATGCACTACCACATTAATGCGGTGAAACGTTGTTGCGAGCGTACGCGGACTGCTCGACGTCGAGCACTGTGCGGACGGAGACGCCTCCGACTCGCCGCCGCCATCTTGCTACGTCAAGCGGGTTGCGTGGCGCCGGCGCCGTGGCCAGCGAGGCCTTCCTATAGCGACCCCTGCCGACGGCAACCGATCGTTTCGGCGAGCGGCCACGAAATCAGCCGCCCCTCGCGGCCGTCCCCGCTGAACTGCCGTGCATTTCGCTCCGATTGTTCCCTCATTTCTAATTCGACGTTACCATCGACGATTACACGCTCGATCGACGCACACAACCCCGGCTGGCTACTCTCTTTTCAGACGTTCGTCTCGAGGCACCCCGACACCCTGCTGCTGCTGCTGCTGCCCCGTCCCTGTCCCCGTCCACCGTTCCCGTTTCCGATCGCGACGTGCACCGCGTACCTTCCACTCGGTTTATCGCTCCCTTCTGTCCGCCTTTCCGTCCCCCGTGCGCTTGTTTTCTTTTTCGGCCGTGGTCCGGCCGGCTGCTGCCTCTCGCGCAACGCAATACGCAGCCGCGCGTATGTACACGCTGTTAATTATCGCGATAGCCATCGTGTCAGATCGCGTTTAAACGCGAGCCTCTCGCGCACAGGAATCGCCACGTGGGAAACCGTCCGCCGGAAATTGATTAACCGTGACACGCCGCATGGCCCGGCGAGAAATCCGGATCTTTCACGGTTTCGTTGACGGCCAGCGACGTATTCGTCGCAGAAGAGTCCCGCGGATTCGGAGTACATAGCTCGCGCGACTTTCGACGAGATTCTCGAAACGGGTCATCTTTGCCTCGCTCGATCACGATTTCGTCGACGATCGCCTCGACGACGCGATTTCGTTGACATTTTTTCGACGATGTTTACTCGCTAAGAGACTGCACGGTGTTTACGTCCGTTTCGAATACTTCTACCGTGATCAGGTACTTTTCCTGTTGGCGGTATTAACTCTTCGGGGCACTGGATTTCAGAAAATAAAATAGACCCATGTTGCGCATGGAATTTCATTGCGTTTTTTAAATCGAACGAAATTTTGATTAACAACGGAATCGCGTAATATGAAAGCATAAAACAATGGTAATTCGATTCAATTTGTTGTTATAGGGTGGGAGTATAACTATATATAAAAATGTCCCGCCATGCATTACCGTGCATTAAAAAGGTGGGAAATTTTTAATTCTTCTTAGCCTCGAAGAGTTAACGCGACATTAATACGACGAGCAGTAATAGTGTTGGTTGCCTCGTGCAAACGAGACGATTAATTCATTTTCATTCTCGCTCGAATAATGTAAAATAACAAATCGGCCGTTTCGACCGTGGTAGGTTTATTGTTTACGCATTCGTAGGGAAAAGAATGTATTAAACATATTCTGTTTTCGAATAATTGATATAACGTCTGTTCAGAAATTGCTAGATAGAAAATAGCACAATTTCCATGTCGCATTCACGCGATTTACATCAAAGTGTGACGAATCTAAAGAGAAACATATGCGTCATTCGAGTGCCGACAAGAAAATCCAAACTCCAATATGAATCGTTCAGTGCGAATGCGCGAATGGTAACACTGTTCAAGACGTTTCGTAAATGTTCAAGACACCGTTAAAACAGAGAATCCTTTGCGTTCGCGCTTCTCAAAACGTAGAAACACCGAAACAACTATTGCACAAGGCCTAACCCCGACCGGCATTTTTATTTCGCTTTCCACATGCGACGCCGATCAATTTTTAACAATCATCGAGCGACGGCTAAAACCTTCTAAAGATCACTTAAACAACATATGCAAAGATCAAGGTCGCTGGAGATGGGTCGATAAAGTGAAATTGTTTATAACGTGTAGCGATAACCGTGGTTGAATAAACCGAAGCAGCAACCCTCGTAGGCGCGAGTAGTCGACATCGACGAGTAAACATCGTCGAAGAAATGATTTTCGGTAATTAGGAGAGCGACATCGTCGACGAAGTTCCGTGTCGCAAAAATTGCGTTGGCCGATGCGACCGTCGATGGAATGTGACTGTCAGCGTGGCAAGGGTGACGCAATTTGCCATGTTATTAAGTTTAACGCGTAGGTAGCGGTGAAGCTAACAAGACAAATCCATCAAAAAGAGTTCATTTCATATAATGGAATGAATTTCATCGTACGTCTCGAAGCCAAAAACGCGCACCTGTTTCTGTAAATATTTTGATATTTGAATATAAATATCTTATATAATAAATATCTATCTAACAAATATCTGATATATCTCAAAGCCGAGAACGTGTACTTGTTCCTGTAAATACTTTGACATTCGAGTGAATCGTGATCGAAATCATCCACGATTCGTTCGATCTAAGATTGGGATATCTCGATATACAATAATGTCTCTCTAATTGACGCTCAGATTGTCCACAGAAATGGACAATTTGGGAAGAGGAGGCACGATTATTCGAGCCTTGTAGCTCGTTTTTATAGTCGTCGACAATCGATAACCACAAAAATCGAGCCACGAAGCTCGAACAATCGCATCTCTCCTCTTTCAAAATTGTCCATTTTTGTGGACGATCTGAGCATCAATTAGAGAGACATTACTGTAGTTTGTGCTATTTTGAATGCACAGGTATTAACCCTCCGCACTCGGAACAGATTTTGCAAACATTGAGATCTCGTCGTGCAGAGTCGAATTGAAAGGAAAATTGTATAGGAAACGAATGATAAACGGAACGATTTTGTGTATTTAATTATGCACTCTACGCGATACAGAACGAAGGAAAATAATAATTAAAAAGCGATGCCACGCTTTGACGCGAACGCATCGCGTCGCCGTATCGGCGACATCCGAGTGCAAAGGGTTGTGCATGTTCGATTGAATCGCAGCCGATGTCGTTCGACGTCGATCGCCGACTGCTAAACGCCGCGTCTACAGCTTTACGCGGCCCGCCTTTCGTATCTTGGCGTAGAAATGGCGCCGTTGCCATTATTGTTAAATCCCATCTGCTCTTAATCCCCAGAATTTGCCACGTACATAGGTTCGCATGGTCTTAATGCTGGCTGTATCATGGAGCCTAGCTTTGTTGTCATTAGTATTCGATTTCCTGATTGGAAACCAATCCTAGAGCCTGTATGCTTGTCGAAATCAATGTATATAATCGGAAACGCGGTTATGGCGGTATAATGTTTGCTAGATTCGACGTTTTCCAATTATTGGGAATGCCTTCATAGAGCAAGAGAGTATTCCCAATTGTAAATATAGCAGCCTCGTTGTTATTGTTTCGCTGATACGTCCGCGCGCGAACGTTTCTCCCGAAAGCTTCGTTATTTAACCAAGAGACTCGAAATAACTCGTTTATCTGTTCGAACGTCGATTATAAAGATTCCTCGTTATTGCCGTTCCGTTGATACCTCCGCGCTCTCGAGCGTGTTTTAAAAGCTTCGTATTTGCCAAGAGATCCGAGATAACTCGTTTATCTATTCAAATGTCAAATGATCTGTTTGAGCGACGAACGCAAAGTTCCCGGCTGCCTCGGAATTAACACGCGAGTTCTGCTCGTCGCGCGTGCTAAACGGTGTTTTCGCGTTTACGCGTGGGCCGTGGTTTGCTTTAAACTCGACGCAGTCGTTTCCCATACGTATTTGTCCGTGTACCAGGAAAAATATTTCATAACCGCCCGCGCAGCCTCTGGTAAGAGCCTCCTGCGTATGATGTTCTTCTTCGGTCTGTTTTTTCTTTCGTTTTCTTTTTTCTCTCATCGGCTCGAAAGAGTTGGCCAGCGGAACGCTTCCGAACCACGCGGAATCCCCAAAAGCAATATTGTGTAGGACCGTCGGCGATCAAATTACGAGACAAAGCAACAACCAGCGGGGATACTGCATTCAAGGAAAAGGCAACGTATCACAATGGAACCCGGGGAAATCAGTGGTAGAAACTTCGTTGGCGAAGTTTCGTCAAGTTGGACGAAGAAAACGAACGAACCGCGGTTTCTATCGCGAGTTTCGGTCCCGCGGAAGACCACTTGGAACCTGCTTCGAATATTAATCAGTTTCTTTCGCGGAACTTTCCACCCATAATTCATTACGGTGTCGCGCACCAACCCCATTATGAATTTCCGCCGTATCTTTACATCGCCGTTTATGTCATTCTAAGCAAGTCCCCTGTTTTTTCAGCGCAAACGAAGAGGTTTATCGTCCTGAAACTTGCCGCTTCTCCCCGCGCCAGATGCATAATAGGATGCTTTTAGCCGTATCGTATTTACGATCTCGCTGACAATTACGCGTAATTGCCTTCGTACCGAAATACGATGCGATACGAATAAAATGATTCTCTAGTTTTCGCTTTCGCGTTCGAGATCCACACTTGCTTCAAAAGAAACTTCTACGAACGTTTTATGAATAAATACACAATTTCATTCGGATAATATATCGAAAGCAATTTTATTCGATTAAAATTACGAATAACATTTTATACGGATGATATTATGAATGAGATTTTATTCGAGAAATATTTCGAATAAATTCTTCGAATAAAATTTCATTCGAGGAACATTTCAACTAGATTCCTCGAATAAAATTTTGTTCGAATGAACTTTCAAGTAAATTCCTCGAACGACGGGAGGCGGCCCAGCCCACGAAGTGCGCGCAACCCCAGTACGAAGCCCAGTTCCGCTCATTGGCTCGGCCGTCTCACGCGCCAGCCGATCTCGCCTCTCATTGGCCACAGGTTTTCGTTAATAACTCGCGAACGAAGCCGCGGATTGCATTTTCGCTAAGGAAAAAGTTACTCCAAACGACCTCGAGAACCCCACATTTCTCGCTTGTACAATAATTTTGGGACACCCTGCATATAGGCCGAAGGACGATTTACTGGGAAGAATTTACCGTATTCGCTTTAATCTGTTGCTGCTTCAAACCCGGTATCATTTCTCCCAGATGGAATGCGAAAATACAGTAATGTCTCTCTAATTGACGCCCAGATTGACCATAAAGATGGACGATTTGGGAAGAGAAGATACGATTATTCGAGCCTTGCGGTTTATTTTTATAGCTATAAATTGTCCACAATTATAAAAACGAGCCGCAAGGCTCGAATAATCGTATCTCCTCTTCCCAAATTATCCATTTCAGTGGACAATCTGAGCGTCAGTAAGGGAGACATTACTGTACATCGAAGATCATCCAAGCCATACATAC